TCAGAGCAAGAAAGGGTTCAGTAGAAGCTCCAGGCTACAGCACAAGTGGCCATGCTGTGTGGGCCAGATGACCTGGCAGAGCACAGCGTACCTGAGGTATCTGTGGTGGGAACAAATGCCTGTGAAGTTTATGACAAGACCCTGTAGGAGAATCACAAGGTAGGCACCCAGGATTCTGGAGCAGGGCCATGCCATCTGTAGCCAAGAATTGTATACTTTTTGAGAAACAACTCTTGATGCTACAGGGTTCTGGTGGAGACAGATCATCAGACCATAGATCATCAAGTTAACCATGTGGCCAAAGCTGCTCATCCATGAGCTGGTGTCTGCTAGATCCACCAAGTCAAAAGGTCAGGCAAGGCCAGCAGCAATTCCTAAGATAGAAATAGTACAGCTGGCGTTGGGCATAGCAGGGCTAGAGGGCAGAAGATAGTTACATGAGCAGGTGGCCCAGACATCTATGTCATCCACTACCTTTGCACCAGTACCTGTCTGTCCCGCATTTCACACCTTTGTCTGCCTGGGCAGCTCTTTATATCTAGCTGACAGAAGAGAAAAAAAAAGCCAAGCTTTGTCCTTAGATAGATCAGCTCAGTATGATGAGCAAGGCAAAAAGAGACTGTGGCTGCACTGCAACCCCACACAGGGGCATCCGTGAAAGACAGCAGAGGGGAGAACCCTTCTAGTGGGCATAGCTGTGGATCATGCACCTGGCCATCCACTTTATGTGGAAAGAGAAGGAGCCTGAGCTTAGACTGTACATGGATCTCATGGGCAGGGGTGAATGACTTGGCTGGTTGGTAAGAGATCTGAAAGGAATAAGATTGGAAAATTGGAAACAAGGAAACCTGTGGTGGAGGCATGTGACTGGACCTATGGAAGTGGGCACCAAGTGTGAATATGATTGTATTCTATGTAAACACACACCAGAGAGCACATGCCATGGGAGAAGCACTAAACAACCATGTACACACAGTTGATATCAACCAGTCTCCATCTGAGGCCACCCCAAAGCTAGCACAGTGGGTGTATAAACAGCAACCATGGTGGTGTATTAGTCTGTTTTCATGGTGCTGTAAAGATACTACCTGAGACTGGGTAATTTATAAAGGAAAGAAGTTTAATTGAGTCACGGTTCTGCATGGCTGGAGAGGCCTCAGGAAACTTACAGTCATGACAGAAGGCAAAGGGGAAGGAGGCACCTTCTTCACAAGACAGCAGGAAAGAGAGCAAGTGCGAAGGGGACCTGCCAAACACGTTTAAACCATCAGATCTCTTGAGAAGTCACACACTTCAAGGAGTGGGGGCTTTAAAAAAAAAAAAAAAAGAGAGAAGTCACCCACTATCACGACAACAGCATGGGGAAACTGCCCCCATGATCCAGTCACCTCCCACCATGTCCCTCCCTCAACACGTGCGGATTATAATTTGAGTTGAGATTTGGGTGGGGATGCAGAGCCAAACCCTATCAGATGGTATGGCATGCCTCCCAGTCATCAAGATTCATCTAGTTATTGCTGCTGCTGAGTGTTCGGCCTGCCGGTAACAGAGACCAACTCTGAACCTTAGATATAGCTTCATCCCTTGAGAACAACCAGCAGCCACTTGGGAAGTTGACTATATTAAATCCTATCCACCCTGGAAAGAGCTGTGATTCATTCTCACTGGAGTAGACGTATATTCCAGATATGAGTTCATCTTCACTGCCTGTAGAGCTTCATCCAGCACAACTCTCAAAGGGCATATACAATGTTTAACCTACTGGGATAGATTATGGGATCTGCAGATTATGGGATAGTCATCCAGGATCTCATATGATTCCACAGCAGAAGAGATGCACCAATGGGCCACTTGTCCGTTCATCTACTGCACTATTCTTAAACTGCCAGCTTAGAACTGTCTGTCGAAGGCACAGCTGGGGCACCAGCTCAGAAATCCTGAGAGAAAAGCTGCCATCCTCCGGGATGCAGCACATGTTCAAGATCAAAGACCGTTACGTGATAGTTTGTCTCCAGTGGGTAGAGTGCATGAGTCTAGGAACCAAGAAATGGAAATAGGAGTGATCTCACTCTTACCATCACTTCTAGTGACCCACTTGGACATTTGTGCTTCCTGTCCTCACAATTCTGGGCTCTGCAGGTTTAGAGGTTTTGAGTCACAAGGGAGGAACACTTCTACTAAAGGAAACATCAAGATTACTACTGAACTATTAGCTGTGACTGCACCTGGACACTTGAGCTTCTTGTGTCAAGAGACTAGTAGGCAAGAACAGTCACCATTCTTTGAAGGATAATTAACCCTGATCATCAGGAGGAGGTACAGCTGCTGTTAAGCAATGGAGGACAGGGAGTTATATCTGTGGTACTCAGTTGATTCACATGGAGACTTCTTGGTATTCCCTTGCCCAATATTTTTTCTTTTTCTTTTCTTTTTTTTTTTGAGATGGAGTCTCACTCCGTCACCCAGGCTGGATTGCAGTGGCACCGTCTCGGCTCACTGCAACCTCCACCTCCTAGGTTCAAGCTGTTCTGCCTCAGCCTCCTGAGTAGCTGGGATTACAGGCATGCACCACTGCGCTCAGCTGATTTTTGTATTTTTAGTAGAGACAGAGTTTCGCCATGTTGGCCAGACTAGTTTTGAACTTCTGGCCTCAAGCCATCTACCTGGCTTGGCTTCCCAAAGTGCTGGGATTAGAGGCCTGAGCCACAGTGCCTGCCCCCTCTTGCCCAGTATTTATGAAATAGTTATAAAAGTGTCCAGGCTGTGACCTGAGCAGGATATGCTGACTTCAGGCTCAGCCCCCTCAGGGCTGAGGGTCTAAATCATGTCTCTGTGGAAGGCATGGAGACCAGAAGAGGTGCTGGCTTAGGGTAAGGGGAATCTAGAATGCACAGTAGAAGAGGGAGATGATGAGTATCAGTTGTGGCCTCAAGATCAGTCAGCGATGAAGGTTGTAGTTTGTCCAACTAACTTTCCTAAGTTTCCCCCAGGAAAGGAGGCCCAGCAGAACTTAAACAAAGAAGTGGAGCTGGGCAGCACAAGTATGGGCTGTAGTGGATGCCATCCTGTACTGCCCAGATCCCCCCCACCACTACATTTGCTGGGCCTCTTCACACAGCTACGGGGAGTGCTCTCAGCCAGCACCGCTCAGCTGTGAGCCCCCTGGGAATTTTCCTCAACGGAAGGGTTACCTCACTGACATACTCCTTTCCCAGTCAGGTCAGTTCAAGGTTATGAAGGCCTGGCCCTACTGCCTTAACTTGACAACTCTGAAGGGCCGTCGCAACTTCACAGCCTCCTGTGGGACTGGCTGAGGTCTTCATACAGCATCAGAGCCCAATTTACCTCTCTCCCACTCCTGCTTCCTTTCCTGCCCCCTTCCCAAGAGCAATCCCTGCTAAACTTCCTGCATGCTATTCTCCATCTCAAAGTCTGCTTTCCAAGGAAGTGGGCCTATAACGTAACTCTTCTAGTTGTTACTAACAACTCTAGAACAGGGGTCAGCAAACTTTTTTAAAGGAACAGTTAGTAAATATTTTAGGCTTTGTGAGCCATGACAGTCTCTGTCACAACTATTCTACTGTGCTATTGTAGTACAAAAGCAGCTGTGGACAGTATGTAAATGAATGAATGTGGCTGTGTTCCAATAAAACTTTATTTATAAAAACAGGTGGTGGGCTGCATTTGGTTCATGGGCCTTAGTTTGCCAAAACATGCTCTAGAGAAATACTATTACATGTGCACAAAGGAGGCCCTGCAACATGATTTGTAATAGCAAAATTTTAGAAACAGTCTAAAAGCACATTTAAAAAAGAATGGTTGGCCGGGCGCGGTGGCTCAAGCCTGTAATCCCAGCACTTTGGGAGGCCGAGGCGGGTGGATCACGAGGTCAGGAGATCGAGACCATCCTGGTCAACATGGTGAAACCCCGTCTCTACTAAAAATGCAAAAAAAACATTGGCTGGGCATGGTGGCGCGTGCCTGTAATCCCAGCTACTGAGGAGGTTGAGGCAGGAGAATTGCCTGAGCCCAGGAGGCGGAGGTTGTGGTGAGCCAAGATCGCGCCATTGCACTCCAGCCTGGGTAACAAGAGTGAAACTCTGTCTCAAAAAAAAAAAAAAAAAAAAAAAAAAAAAAAAAAAAAAAAAAAAAAAAAAAGAATGGTTAAATTGTACATCCAGATTTTGGAATACGGTACTGTGGATAAAAAGAATGAGTTTAGGTCTGTATAACAGCACTTTCTAATAGAAATATAACACAAACCACATACATATTTTTAAATTTTCCAGTAGCCACATAAAAAATATAAATGAAATAAATGAAAATCAATTTTAATAATATATCTTGAGTTCAATATGCCCCAAATATTACTTTGATATGTAATCAATATAAAAATTACTGAGACATTTTACATGTTTTGTACTAAGCCTCTGAAATGTGGTGTGTAGTTTTACAGCACATCTCAGTTTGGGCTAATTACATTTTCAAGTGCTTCTAGCTTCATGTGGCTTGTGGCTACTGTGTTGGACCACGCAAATCTATAAGTACTGATGTGGGAACATGGCTGAGACATATTGCTAAGTGAAAAAAGGAAGTTGCAGTACCATATGTACACTATGAACTATTTATGTAAGGAAAAAAAACTATTTCCATAGAGACATACTGAGAAAAAGAAAAAAGATGTGTACAGATATACACCCAATTTAGAGAGACATTTTGGATGGGGTGAGGGGCTGTTGGTCAGGAGGGACTCATTCTCCTTGCCTGATTTTTTTAAATAAACTTTTTATTTTGGATTGATTTTAGATATACAAAATGTGGCAAAAATACAGAGAGTTTCTGTATATCTCTCACCCAGTTTCCACCATTGTTAACCTCTTACATTAGTGTGGTACCTCTGTCAAAATTAAAAGCCCACTGTTGGTATACTTCTATTACTGAACTCCAGACTTCACTCAGACCTCACCAGTCTTCCCACCGATGTCTTTTTTCTGTTCCAGGATTCAGCCCAGGATCCCAGGCTGCATTCAGTCATCCTATCTATCCTGTCCCTTCTGCTCTGTGACAGATTCTCAGTCTTCCCTTGTTTCCCATGACCTTGACAGTCTTGAGCAGTACTGGCCAGGTATTTTGTAGACCATCCCTCAGTTTGGGTTTGTTTGAGGATTTCTTCATGACCAAGTTGGAATTCAGGGTTTGGGGAAGAATACCACTGAGATGAAGCACCCTTCTCATCGCATCACATTAGGTGGCACGTGGCTTCCACAGGACTATTCACTGGTGATGCTGGCCTTGAGTGCTTGGTTATGTTAGCGTTTGCCAGATTTGCCCACTATGAAGTTGTCATTTTTCCCTTTCCATATTCTATTTTTTGGAGGCAAGTCACCAAATCCAGACCTCACTCAAAGGTTGGTGGGCTGGGGGTGAATTAAACTCCACCTCCGGGAGAGTGGATTATCTACCTGTGTAATTTGGAGGTCTTTAAGAAAGATTCATCCCTTCTCTGCCATTTAATTTATTTTGATAATTTATTAATATATCAATATGGACTCATTTTATGCATTGGGTTGTAATCAGTCTGATTTTTTATAGTGAACATAAATTCATGTAATGTATTTTTTTAATGCAGAAAACATACAAAAACCATGCTGTGTGAGAAACAAGCTCTTATGATTGGCAGGGATTTTTCCTCCACAGCTTTTCATGTCTGCCTTTGAGTAGGATAATCATTAGCTTACTGCTATTCAGCTAGCAACCGTAGACACGCTATTTCAACTCTCCAGACCTCAATTTCCCCATCTAAGTAAGAGAATGTTTCATGAAATGGTCTCAGAGGTGAAGAAGGGGATGGTGTTTGTATGATTGTAAGTGTCCGCATATTTTGTTGCCTATTAATAGACCCTAAGTTCTTAATGGTTATCTTCTTTTATTTATGTTGGAAAATGAACTCAGAGCTAATAGCCCTTGAGAACATCCTGTAAACATAATCAATATTTATATCCCCCATTACAACCCAAGGGTTCACCTTCCTTGCTCTTTCACCCCTCTAAGTGGGATTAAGTTTTCCTTTTATTTCTCAGTTTCTTCTCCAGCAGCTGAAGACTAACCTGAGGCATAGGATTCCAAACCCTACCAAGCATCTGCTGACTCTTTGGCCCCATTCTTGTGCCTCTCATCTAGCTATGCTATAGCCACACTGATGTCCTTATCACCTTGCATCGTCCCCAGATTCATATGTTGATGACCTAACCCCCAGTACCCCAGAATGTGACTGTATTTGGAGATTGGGCCTTTACAGAGGTAATTAAGGTAACGTGAGATTATATGGGTGAGCCCTAAATCCAATATGACTGGTGTCCTTATAAGAAAAGATTAGGATGCAGACAGCACAGACCATGTGAGGACACAGCAAGAATGTGGCCATCTATAAGCCAAGGTGAGAGGCCTCAGAAGAAGCCAAACCTGCTGACACCCGATCTGGAATATCTGGTCTCCAGAACTGTGACAAAACGAATCGGTTGTTTAAGCCACCCAGTCTGTGGTACCTTGTTACGGCAGCCCTAGTAGAAGGAAATACACACGCCAATGAATGAAAATGCTTCCTGAATGCCTCCCTCCTCTATGCCAGGCCCTGTGACAGAATCCAGGCCACAGAGATGAACGAGACAGGGGCTCACAGTCCAGTGAGGAGCCAAGTCGCCCATTGCCATTTGACATACTAGGGGCTAAGTGGGAAACTGGGAGTTCGGCAGAGGGACCACTGAACTGTGCCTGTAGAAGGGGCCTGGCCCAGAGGGTATCAGGAAAGGGTTAGCAGAAATGCTGACTTGTGAGCTGGGTTTTTACAGGTTTAAAGGAGTTTCCCAGGCAGGAATGGCATTCCAGGTACAAGGAAAGGTATATGCAAACGTTGAAGCTGGACGGATGTCAAAGAACAGGAGTAGGTGTGATATGGATGGAGCCAAAGTGCAGCAGGAGGAAGAACAGCCTGAAGTGAGCCTGGTGTAGGAGGGAGGGGCCAGTCTATGAGTGGCCCGTGTCCTGGGCTGGGAATTTTTACTTACAGAACTTTAAAGGTTTTGAAGTGAGAAAACTCCTAAGTTAAATTATGGTTACATGTATCAGGGGCTTACTATGTAGGTAACGATTTGTTTTCCAGCAAATACGGAGCACATAAGCATTTGTTTCCCTCTCCACCTGAATGTGAACTTCTCCAAGAGCCCCATCCCCTCCTGCCTGATGCAGAGAGCAAGGCTCCCAAAGAAGCACTAAGGATTGAATTACTTTCAGAGCCAGAAAACACATGGTCTGTGGCAGGCTTACAGCCGAGGTAAGTAGCCCACATGGCATGGAGATGACTTGAGGCCTGCTCACAAGGGAGAAGCATCCAGCATTGCCACAGGGGCCTCCAGACCAGGACTTCAGCAGATCAGATAGGGGAGGCTGTGTAGCAGAGGGGAATCAAAATCATCAGAGCCCCAACCATCACGTAGTGAGCTCCTGTACAGGCTAGAGACTAGGCTGGGTACTCTGTACAGTTTGCCTTAGTCTCACTATTACCTCCCAAATGTGACCCCACCCCTTAATCTTCTCCCCATCCTCTTATACCTGAGCTTCTTATGCCAAGAAGACCTCCTAAGGTCTTCCTGGGAGTACCTTCTCCCTTCTCTAATCAGTTCTGCACTCGGCAGCCAGAGTGAATGTCTAGAATGTACCACAGATCCTATCACTCCCGTCCTCAAAACCCTTCAATGGGTCTGGATGTGGTGGCTCATGCCTATAATCAGAGCACTTTAGGAAGCCAAGATGGGGGGATCACTTGAGCCTAGTAGTTTGAGACCAGTCTGGGCAACATAATGAGATCCCTTTATCTCTTTACAAAAGAAAAAAAATAGCCAGATGTGGTGGCATGCACCTGTGGTCCCAGCTACTTGGGAGGCTGACGTGGGAGAGCTGCCTGAGTCTGGGAAGTTGAAGCTACAGCGAGCTGTAATCACACCACTGCACTCTAGCCTGGGCGACAGAGCATAACCTTGTCTCAAAAACAAACAAAAAAAAAATCAAAAGAAAAAAGAAAACCTTCCAATGGCCCTGATCACCCTAAGAATAAAACAAAAGTCCTTATGGTGGCCTACAAGGTCCCACATGTCCTGGCTTCTGGTACCATCTCCATCTTTGTCCTACCCCTGGCTCCAGCCTCTCTGGTCTTCTGTTCCTCAAACTCCCCGACTATAGCCCTTCCTTGGGGCATCTATGTGCTCTTCCCCTCTGCCCGGCATGCCCTGATTGCCCCGAGGTGACTCCTTGTCCTTCAGTTCTTACTCCTCAGAGAGGCCTACCCTGGTCACCCACTCTAATCAGGTCCACACCCCCAAGTCATTCTCTGACACATCAGTGCTTTTTTTTCTTCATAGGACTTAAAACATTCAGAAGTTACCATATGCACTTCTTCATTCCCTTGCTAATTTTTTTGCCTCTCCCACCAGAATTCACTCTTTCGGGAGCAGCGACCTTGTCCGTCTCTCCTTCACTGGACCTCCAGTGCCTGGCACAGGGCTTGGCCCTGAGCGGGGCTCCATGCATATGTGCTGATGAATGGATGGCACCCCCCATGCCTCCAGGCTGGCCTCTGTTAGTCCACGTAGCCGAGCGGACAGTCTGGGCTCCATGGGAAAAGCTAATCCCAAGCGTGTGGACCGACAGATGGTGTGGAGCCCAGAGCTGAGGCGCAGCTTTTATTAGTCTGAGTTGCTTTTGCTCGGAATAGGATTAGCATAAGTACCATCCCAGGCAAGTAGATAAGGTAAAGCTCTGTTAGTTACATTCAGATTGTATTTCTTGGCCACAATCCTGGGCCAAACTTGTGCTGGGTCGGTCCAATTCATGGTTAAGGGTAGTACTCAGGAAGGGCAACTAGAGTGGGACCTTCTCAGTCCCCTCTCCTCATTGACCTCCAGAGTGGCCTGTCCAACTCCTAAGTCCACACTTCACCCCAGGCAGAATGCTTTTTACTGGCCCCGCTGTCCCTGGGTGAGGCCTGAACGCTGTGATGATGAAGACGAAGAAGGGATGCTGGTGGCTGTCACACAGCTCTCCCATGCAACCCTTACAACAACCCTGCAAGGCAGACGGTGTCACCATCCTCATTTGGCAAACGAAAAGCTGATGGCTCAGCGAGGTTAAATGACTCAGCCAGCAGGCCACAGACAGGCTCCAAATCCCAGTCTGTGGGAGTGATTGGATGGGCACTCCAGGGTGGGCCAGCCTCCCTCTCTGGCAAGGCTGCCATGCTCCCCAGTGCTCTGGTTTTAGCTTTGACTGGATCAGTGAGGAGCCAAGTCAAAGATCAAGTCAAGGAAACTCCTATTTTCTGGCTAAGAAGTATCACTTGCCTTAATCTCTTCACTTTCTCTTCAGCTCCATTAAGGAGCATTTAACTTTTGGAGGGAGTCATTTTCCACAAAGAAACAGGGTTCTTAAAAATCACTGTGGGTCGGGCTCAGTGGCTCACACCTGTATTCTCAGCACTTCAGGAGGCCGAGATGGGCAGATGGGCAGAACTGTCGAGCTGGGGCAACATGGCGAAACCCCAACTCTACAAAAAAATATTTAAAAATTAGCCAGGCATGGTGGCGCGCACCTGTAGTCCCAGCTACTAGGGTGGCTGAGGTGGGAGGATCACTTGAGCCAGGAGGTTGCGGCTGCAGTGAGCTAGCATGGCGTCGCTACACTCCAGCCTGGGTGACAGAGACCCTGTCTCAAACAACAACAGCAAAGTGTAATCGTGCATATAATAACAATAAAAGCCGACATTTGTGGAGTATTAAGTGCCAAGACTATACACCGTGCTTTTCACACGTTATCGCAATGTTTGAAATTTCAATAATTTATGTGAATAAAGGAATTCCGTACATGTGATTTTATTTAAAAAAAAAAAAAAAGTGAGAGATTACGTAACGGTGAAGAGAGAAAAGTAGGTCTCCCTGCCTCCTGCACTCCCGTGCCCTCTTCCCCTTCCCACAGGCCACGCGATGACCAGTTCCTTTTATCCAGCAGAGTCCATGAATGACCCTCAACAGCCCTTTGAAGTATTATTATTCTGGAATTACATATTAGGAAACTGAGGTTTTGAGACAGGAATTCACTTTCCCAAGGTCACACCACTTGAGGGCAGAGCTAGGAGCTCGTCCCAGACGGGTTGACTGAAGCCCATGTGTTGAGGGTCAGTCACCCTGCCTCCCACAAAGAAGAGAGAACCAGAAATTTGAGCTGAGAAGTGTGTGCTGGGCAGCCAGCTGGACTCGCTCGTGAATGGGCTTTGTCTGCCTACACTGATCTTGAAGAATTCAAATTTGGATCTCAGCAAACTGACAAATTATAAGCTGTCACAGACCATCTAGGTTATTGACAAATAGTCAAAGCTGCAAATACTACAATCCTGAATCCTACCAGTCACCCGTTCTTGCTATTTCCTGCCTCCTTGCTCCTTTACACCCTTGGTTGGTCATTTGCAGGCGTCAACTCAGACAAGCTGCTCAGTATAAAGAAGGTCATAGGAAGCAGAGGAGGCAGTGCACAGCTCTGCAGCTCTAAAACCAGGCTAGGCCTCAGCTCTGCCCTCTGCATGGCTGGGGCAGTCCTGTCCCTCTCCAAGCCTCAATGTCTTCATTTGGGAAATGGGATTAATTCTATTTAATCAAAAGGTTTGGAGATCCTCAGCGAGGTAATGAAAGCCAAATGGTAATTAGCAAAACCCCATGCAAATATAATTTTAATAACAATAAAGGAAAGTTGGAATAAACCTAGTAGCCTGTATGTGAAATAAGCTGGCTTAACTCACACCTGCTATCTGTTCACTTCCTTCCATTCCACCCACCAACCTGCATTTATGAAATCTTTTACAGTTTACAAAATCCTTTTCATCCTGTTTTATTAGCCCTTGTCCAAGCCCTATGCGGCAGGAGGTTCCAAAGATTCCTTATCCTGGTACCCCACACTGCCTTCTCTCTGGTCATGACTGCCCAGGGGCAAAGTCTACAAAGAGACAACCCAGGTTCCTTGACTCCCAGTCCTACAAAGTACAGAGTGGAGTCTGACTTACCTGCACCCCCTTTGTGGATTACAGCTTATCAGTTCAGAGTTCTTGGTCAGGCCACCTCTTCTCTCTGAACCCAAGCAATCTCAACAGTGACATGCAGGTGATAATCACTCCCAGTTGACAGATCAGGAAACTGAGGCTCCAAAAGAAGAAGTGACTTGCCCAAGGTCACAGAGTTGGTGAGAGGTGGTGTGGTCCTCACACCTGGCCATATCACTGCCCTGCTTAACACCTGCAGTGGCTGCCCTGGCCCACTGGCTAGAACTCGTGCCCCTGAGCTTAACTCTTGAGACTTGCAGTGATCTGGCCCCCACTTCCCTCCCCAGATTCATCTCTCCGCACCCTTTCTACACCTCAGCCTTTCCAACTGTGTCATCATTCCCCAAACACACAATGACTTCTCACCCCTTGTCTTTGCACCTGATATTCCCTCTGCCAGGCTGCCTGTGGTCTCCTGCCCATCCTTGATTAATCTCTCCTATGCTCCCTTTGACAGGTACGTGACACAATGAGCTTTCCTTGTTGTTGTCATCATTACCGTACTGATCATTTCTCAGGGTGGATCAGACCCCAAGCTTTGGAGCTAAACTGCTTGAGTTTAAAGCCTGGCTCAACCACTTACTAGCTGAGTGATTCTGGACAATTTCGTCAACATCTCTGTGCTGTGGAGGTGTTTTCTCAGTTGTATCATGAAGGTCCCTCCTGGGATTGTTGCAAAGAATAAATAATACACATAGAATGATGGGCACAGGGCCTGGCATAGAATAAGTGCTCATTCAATATAGGCTACCTCTTATTATTTTCTGTGATTTGTACTTGGTGATGCCTACCATCTACCCATCCCTGTGCTGGGCATAGCTAGCTGACCCAGATGCAGTCTCTGGCTTCAGTCCCTAGGGGAGAAGAGAGACAGATAAATATCCCATGATAATGCATTCATTCTGACCAAGTCACTGTTTTGTTGAAAGCATCCTGAGACTGTGTTCATGAGCTCTAAAGAGCAAACACCATTCTGCAACCACTTCTTCCTCACCAGACACGGACTGGGTCCTCATGCCCCCACCCCACTGCGTGTCTCATCCATGGGGAATGGTTTTGGCAGCTCCCCATTCTCTTCAGGTTAACCCCAGAGACAGGCTGTTCCCAGAGTGCAAGGGAAGACTCAGCTGCAGCACAATTTATCTCCCTGGGCTGCTCCCTCAGCTGAGATTTACGGGCTGTGCCTGTCACAGTGACCCTGCAGACTCAATTACAGATCTGCTTCTAGGCTAGACTGGGGCAGAAACCTGCCCAGATTTACCAAGTGGCTCCCAGGGATAGCCACAGGCCCTGTCAAACCTGGGACCTCCGAGGGCATGGGGCCCATTTAGCTGCCTCGCCTGTCACACACAAGGAAACTGAGGCTAGCCACAGGAAGACACATTCAAAGCTCCCACCAGTGAAAATGGGCCCAGTGTGAAGTCTAACATGGGCCCTGAGTGCCACTGAGGGAGCTTATTTTTCCTATACGTGGGTATATGTGAGTATATGACTTCACTATTACTCAAATAGTTTTCTTTTTATGTAACAAAATTATTTACTATGGAAACATGGTTTGAAACTTGAACCAAAAGCGAAATATTGCATTTCCATAGACAAAGACCATATTCTGTCCCCACAAGCACATTAGAATGTATTAGATGAGGTCGGGTGTGGTGGCTCATGCCTGTAATCCCAGCACTTTGGGAGGCCAAGGCAGGCAGATCACATCAAGAGATCAAGACCATCCTGGCCAACATGGTGAAACCCTGTCTCTACTAAAAATACAAAAATTAGCTGGGCGTGATGGCGCACGTCTGTAGTCCCAGCTACTCAGGTGGCTGAGGCAGAATAACTGCTTGAACCTGGGAGGCGGAGGTTGCAGTGAGCCGAGATTGCACCACTGCACTCCAGCCTGGCGCCTGGTGACGGA